GGGGGGGGCAAATTTTCAACTAGAACTAACATTAGCAGCTGCTACTTATATATAGTGTAAGGGATAGTTTTCCAATAACTAAGAGTATGATCGCAATAGTCTACAAGGTTTTTGTTCATAAAAGTTTGAGGGTAAAATTTTGTTCATTGAATAACACCAATTTGAAATTGGAAGTAAAAAAGGTTCTATAATGTCATTGTATTTCTCAATTATGTTGTGACAGATACGTACTTGTCAAGATGACGGTGAATGATGTAAAAATAATACGAGTTAATATACCTAATGATACAACATACACAACGACACTATCCAAGCTAAAGCTGAATATATACAGGGTGTCCCAGTTATAATAATTAAAAAAAAAACATGGATTCCTGACACAAAATACAACAAAAAAGTGTCATACAATTTTTCAATCCAGTGACAATTGAGCTCGCAAATCGTCTTTGTAAATTTGAACGTACAATTTGTTTCATTACGGGCCTGGATCTAGGCGACTAACGTCGCTCAGCTGATCTAGTGTGGATGTAACAAGTACCTACCGGGAAGAAGCCGAATGCACTTCCACCTTGTAAAAAAAAGGTAAAAGTGAAAAAGAAATGCGTACCTTTTATAAAAAATGTTTAAATTGTCCGCCATTCGCTTCAATGCAACACTGACAGCGGCGTACCCAGTTGCTGCGAATTTTGGCCCAGATACCGGGAATATTTCGAATTATACGATAGGCATTGGTAATGTAACTCACCACCAACTGACGGTTGAATAAGAACCCTACTAGAATGCACTATCACACTACTAATTGTCCTTATTGTAATAGTCTTTTATGAAATGACCACTAAATAAATAAACTAACACTAACAAACAAGTAAATTCCACAACAATCCAAAGCAAACTGAACAACCTGTTAGAAACTACGACATTATGTGTATTTATTCCAGTCACTTCCAGCAGTGTAATTATACGAGGTTATATCAATATTTAGCTTTTTACATTTAATGAAAACAAAATAACCAACTTGGTCCTTCTGGACACATCCTTGTATTACCCCACGTGGGGTTAATGAGCCCTGCCAGGCAAAACTAACGTTTAACACATGTGAATGGTCAAAGTAGGTCTGCATCTTGTCTCAACTTTTACAACCATAACACATACATTTGTTTTCGTACACTAGTACGTTATGTTACAAACCTTTACCAAACGCTGGGTGGTGAGGGTTGTTTGTGCACCGCTTCTAACTATTCCGTAGTCGTTAAAATTTCTTTTCTATTTAAAATATCATAATACTCGACGTCATGGGCTACATTAGGTCCACTTCAGTTTACGATCATGGGATTTTCGATTGTGATAGATACGTAGTTTTTCTAACATTTTCAGTCATCTAATGGACCTTAACGCGAGTGCATTTTCTTCGGCTGATCCGTAACTTAATACCAAACATAAACAATAACATCACCCCAAAAAGCAGCTGATTCCGACCTACTGAAGGTGAATTTTTCTACGATCAGCTGGCAATCGTAATTAATTTGCGATTGTGCAGGGCCGGCATCAAAACTGTTATAATTTTATAATTTTTTATTTTGTTTCAAAAGTCAAAAGTGTTATAACATTTTATGTTCCAAATGTCCGTAGGAATCTGTGGTATAAATATTAATTATTATAACTGGGACACCCTATATACAGACTTAACTGCACTAGCATCCATGTTGGGGCCTGCTTAGCCTCCGCGTATCCTCAGCCATTGGTACGGCGGCGCGGCCCAGCCATTCAAGGTCTCACTACCTCGCATCAGGGGAACAAAACTCATTGGGCTTTACTCGGGGTTAACCGACCAGTTGACCCTAACTTAGCCAAGCCAAACAGCCACTACCCCTATCACATTAGACAGTCGAATTAGAAACCACCCAAAGATCTAAACAAATGTCAGTTCACATTTTGACCAAAACCAATGGTAGCAATTTACTGTCCTTTACTCCAATACATAAGAAATACTAACAAAGAATTCAACATAAACAACAATATTAAAACGGAACTGCTTCACCTCCACCCACTCTTTATTGGTACAGGTGGCACGGCCCATTCCATGCGACGCTAGCTCAATGCAATGAGCTGTACCCGGCAATCACAAAGGAGAAGGGAGACAACTTGAACTCTCCCCGGGGTGAACCTACCTGTTGACCCTAGTCCTGCCAAGGTCTCCACTGGCCTCCAAGCAAAGCCGCTTCCAAAACTACTTATAACTTGAGATATTAAAATTGATCATCATCCTACAATTAGCACACGTGGCTCTAATGGCTTAAGCTTTTTCCCTCAATTATCTGATAGTGTATTATCTCTAGATTTATTCAATTAAATCACCTATATAAGTTCATGATCAAAACTGACGTAAGCTATCTACCTGTGCTATTAAAGAACTAAGACACTTAGTGCGTAGGGACTCACCTGTATAAAACACTAAATGTAATCCAATAAGATATATATAACAATAATAAAGCCACAACAGTTCACATATACAGCGATTCGTAAAAATTTACTAATAAACGTCTCGACCTGGACTCAATCGAACAGAAACTACCTCAAAAACTACACGTGCACTTTAGAGTTCCGATGGTCCGTTCTTATACAAATGTTTAACGTCATTTCAACCCTCTTAGACAATCATAACAAATCAGCAATATATTAAATCGACATTTAAAAAGCCTACTCTTACACTTTTAACGTTTTAACCTTTTGTTTGAGGCAATTGACGTGCAATTCAATAAGCTAATTAAGTAATACAACACCATTCATTAGAGTACGCCAGTTTGTCACTGTAGAACATTTGTTGTTTGTTGTAATAATGTAACGTGATACTTATTTACGGGTTTGAACCTATAGCCGCTGTAGGGACGACATCTTTGATTTTAAAGAAGATAATTCCTAAAATTCTACAGGCGAAATAGCAGAGAACGTTGACTGCTCTCATGTGATAGTGTGGCATATTTTAAAGCAACAGTTGCTGCATCCTCACAATTTGCAGCGAGTGCCCTACTTGAAGCCCTACTTTAAACTGATTTTCGGTTGCGAGTGGATTTCTGTCAGTGGTTTCGAAAGAAAAGTACTGCAGAGCTTAATTTCTTTCGTAGGATGTTGTTAACAGACAAATTTGTTTCTCGTGGGACGGAATTCTGAATGTCACAATAGTCACTATTCGCATGCTGCGAGTACATTCTTTGCGAATTCAGGAACTGTTTTCAGTAATGTGTGGTGCGAAATTTTTAAAGACTTATGGGACTTTTTACGTGAGAATCTATCGAATGTGCTAGAGGATGTACTGTTGCGACCACAAATGAAACATGTTAAATGCCGGACGTTTTGGGGAATCTTGAAATTTATTATTTTTAAATTACCAATATAACATTTATAAAAATATCACAGACGCTAAACCGACTTCTCAATAAGCTTTGAAAACTAAAATGTTCGAGTTAATAAGGTTAACCGGTGTAACTAATGCTAATAACATGACAGCTGTAGTAATTGCTAATATCTATAAAGTTGTGTAGAAAATCCTAGAAACGGTTGTTTTATGAACAATAAAGAGGACACTTAAAGCTGAAAACGTTAATTCAATTTTTATTCTTCTTCTTCACAAGGTCGTCAGTCTTAAGACTGGTTGGATACCTCCACTCTTTCCTATCCTGCACTAATCTTCGCATTTCCCTAAAGATAGAGCAACTCATATCCTTAACTATTTGCGAACAGTAATCTAATTTAGGTCTATCTCTACCCCTCCTAATTTCCGTTCTGCCTCTAATATGTCTCTGACTAGACCTTCATGCCTGAGAAGGTGTCCTACTAACCTATCTCGTTTATTTCTTATTGACTTCCATTGTCCTCTGTTCTCCTACTCTTTCTAATACCTCTTCATTTCTAACCCTCTCTATCCACGGTATCCTCATCATTCGCCTGTAAAACCACATTTCGAACGCTTTTAACATTCTTTTTTCCGCCGCGCCCACTGTCCATGTTACGCACCCGTACAGCGCCGTGCTCCAAACATACACCTTCAACAACCTCTTTCGAATTTCTAAATTAACCGTTCGCGAGCATAGAAGTGACTTTTTTTTATTGAAGGCGATTAGCATCTCTATAACTGCCTGTTGCTCTTTATACAAACTTAGTATCACTCTTCTATCTTTGTAACTTATTCCTAAATTTTCAAGTCCCATTTAACACTGGTTAAAGCTTTTTCTAAATCTACAAATCCTGTGTACGCCCTCTTTCTTTTTTCTATCGTTTACTCTATTGTTACCCGTAAAGATAGAATGGCCTCCCGCTTTACACTATTTCTTATAAACCCAAATTGATCTTCCCCTAATACTTTCCCACCCTTTTTTTCACCCCCTCTGTACAATTCTAGTTGAGAGTTTTGACGCATGGGAAGTTAAGCTAATTGTTCTAAATGTCTCGCACCTATCCGCACCTCTCTTTTTAGGTATGGTTACTACAACGTTCCGTTTTTAATCTTTTCCCGTATCGTAAATGTGACTAACTAGCTTAAACATACGATATCTAACCTCTTGTCCTGCATGTTTTAGAATTTCCCCCCTGTATCCCATCTAAACCTGCGCCTTATTATTCTTTAAGTTTTTTCATGCTACATCGAACTCTTCTCCCATTGTGGGATAACGTAGCTCATCTATCTTCGCACTATCTTCTTTCTGTAATATATCTCCTAACTCAGCGCCTGCGTATAGGTTCTCTAGGAGAAAGGCGGAAATACAAAAACAGCACAGACGAAGAAGGGCAAAAAAGATATAAGGCTATAAAGTAGGAAATGATTAGGAAGTGTAGGGCAGGTAAGGGACAGTGGATTGATAGGATGTGTAAAGAAGTAGAAGAAAAGTTTGAAGTAGGTAAAACCGATGAGGCTTGTAATATAATTAAAAGGAATTTTAGAGATGTAGGGTATAGTAGTAATAATATAAGAAATAAGGCAGGGGTTATTTTGATAAAAAATCCTCTTTCGATACTACATATTTATGTGAAATACCTATTCTGTTCAACAAAAATTTAATTGTTTTTTTTTAATAAAAATGGACACAAAATTATATAATTCCAATTAATTATCATTACATTATTACAAAATGTTAGTTAGGTTATACACTACTTATTCTTTTCTCTCAACTGCATTTATCCATTTCTTACTTTTTTTTAATTTCCAACTAGCATTGGAAATGCATAAAATTTGCAGTCACCATTTCTGGCGGTATTATTACAATTAACTACACAGCAACTATTATGCCTCCATTTTTAATATTACTTTTTACTTGTTTATTCTGAACGTGAACATGATTTAACGAAAATTTCACAATGATCGCTGTGATCGATTCAGTTGTCCTTACATATACTCATAAAATTAAAATACAAACATTCTTTCATATGAATTTATTCTTTTTTCATTACCACAACTTTGTTTCATTTATAAATTAAAATAAGAGCGTTTTTTTAATATTGTACTTACTCAAAACAATAAGGCCATAAGTACATCTGTTTCTCAAAAAGATAAGTCAAAGGTATACTAAGATGGGGTGATAGCGTTAGTAGTATTCATAAACGCTAAATTATAGTAACATTGTTTTTTTTCGCAACATTTCCTTCTATTTACTGTTAAAGATTTATTAACTAGATACTAAGTATTTACGAAACAAAATTAAAAGAAATATCCTACAGCAAATAATCGAATTGGATCCCATTATTAATTAGGCACAGACAGGCATTTTTAATATTTGAAAGCACCAATGAGGTGATTTTTGAGAAAACTGCTCAGAATGGTGGCATACATTCAAAAATTTTTTATTAAAACTGCCCGCCTGTGTATAGATAAATTATCATTGGATACAATTGGAGCATTTGCTGTAATAGTTATGTTAATCTAAGTTATTTTTTAAATTTTGTTTCGTACCTACACTTAACAGTTAATAAATTGATAATTCTTAGATTTCACATATTGTTAAAAAAGGTTTTTAATCTTCATTCAAACTGTTCATCTCCAACAATATATAAAAGAAATTACTACAAATAACGCTAAAAAATTGGTTTTCTTAAAATAAAGGAGAGAACATGTCCGTACTTAATATTAGTAAAAAAACCTTTCTGCAACTTTTGATTGAAGATTGTTGGAAAATCAGTACGTTTATAACCAGATGGTTGATTTCAAGAGATTAAAAATAGCATTTCTCAAATTATTCTGCAAATTGCTTTTGATACATTATCGATACTGATTCTAAACAAATTTTTTGTAATAGGTGTTATTTACAAATTTAACGCCTGTAGTCACCTACTAAGTTACCTTCTCGATTATAACAATAGTTATCATTTAAGATATTATAACATTTAAGTGTTTATAATTATCGATTATTTTGAAGAGAAGATGTCATGAAACTATAGTAAAGTAACAGGCCAAAATATGTAAGATAGCAAAAATTACAGAAATATATAGTAGAGCATAATACTACATATATTATAATATTCCAATTTCAACTTGTACTATATTTTCCATTTTCAAAAATACCCTTTTTGAAGAATGGGGAAATATTGATTAAAGCCTCCCTGGTAATTGGTTCTCCTAGGGATTGTATTAAAAGCCGTAAATAAGTTTCTAATTGTCGTTTTCTATTTTTTGCAACAGCTTCAGTATTCCTAAATAGTTGCCGAGGTGGAAAAGGAATATTTGACACCTAAATCAAAAGAAAATATAAAAATACAATTAATATGGGTAAATGAAAATTACCTTTTGTCCATATTTACTCTTCATAACGAGGTATAGTTCTCGAAATCTACTGTACCTTCGGTATACAGTCCATTTATCATCAGTTGTGTTTATTTTTACTTCATATTCATAATGAGTTTGATTTCCAGCTCCGCGTAAAATATAATTAGTAATACTGATAATGTTGTCACAGTTATTTTCTAAAACAATGAAAACGTTTTATAGATTAAAATTTCATAACACATACTGGTAGAAACCGACTGAGAAAGTATATTATAGTATTCATGAATAATTTGCAATAAGTCTGGCCTTTCGCGTCGATAATAAACTCCATATCCAGATACTACGGTTTTTATTTAAAGGCGCTATTTTTAGTTCTTCTTTCAGTAAATCACCTATACTACTATTTAGTCCATTCGAATTTAGTAAAATCCCCCTTTACTACTAAAACTCATCAATAAGCTTTATTTCAAGATGTTTTTGAAGAATTATTTTAAAAGTATACAAATCATTATGTGCTCTTTTTAATTTATAAATAAAAAAGCTGCAAACGATTTCTCAATAAATGTATATCCGACGTTACGTACAGCTGCGGTTCGACTGTGCAACATTATTTTTATACAATATACTGTCACCCTGACACGTTTGTAGGCAATCCAACATACATAGTGACAGAGAAGNTTAACGGTTAAAAAACTCCTAAAACAACAAGAAAATTCTAATCCAACTCATAATAGGTTTCAGCTAGAAGCCAATTTATCTTTATTAAAATATTTCAGAAGTAAATTTAGAAATGAACTTCGTAAAAAAATTAAAAAGAAGTCGCGCATTAATAATAGAAATTTAGAGTGGGTGGATTTAGAAAGTTGTTTCAGGAACAGAATAAAGACAGGAAGCATTGTTAATTATAGTATTAAGGAACCAGAAATATTTTTCGAAAAAGCATATAAAAGTTTTTCGATTAAAATTAAGAAAGAATTAAGAAATTCACTTCTAAAAGTAAATGCTATCTTTTATGCCCTATTTATTAAACCGTCAACCGACGAAACAGATATCAAACATTTTTCAACTAAAAATAGCATTATAGACGTGGCAACAAACTTAAAGGAATGGTATAATGTACACATAAAAGATAAAATTTTAAAAATGTTACAAGAGTTTCAAGAACGTCAGAGTGGATGGGCATTGCGTGAAATTTATCAACTTAAAATCAATATAAATTATTACCTACCAATTAATATAGGAAAATCAACATATATAGATTTACCGCCATTCATTAAAAATACAAAAGCTGTTATAAATATTAAAAATAACGATGAATTTTGCTTTTTATGGTCAATTGTTGCTGCGATTCACCCCGCACCCCCTAACAAGAATGTAAATAGACCATCATCATATCCACACTTTAGTACAGTTCTTAAGTATGACAACTTCAATTTCCCCTTTCAACTTGAAGATATCGTCAAATTTGAACAAATGAACAATTTATCGATTAACGTCTTTACTATATTAGATAAAAAAGAAATAGTACCGCTTTGTTTAAGTAAAACTGAATTTACACCACAAATTAATTTACTAATGGTCTCAAGAGTTAATTGTGAAAGTGAAAGTTCTGATGATAATGATGATGAGAAAACAGCAATAGCAGCAGCAGCATTAGACGTCGAATCAGACAGAGTATTTCATTTTGCGTTAATTACTGACCTGTCAAAGTTATTACATAAACAAACGAAGCGACTTCATCACAGAAAATGGTTGTGCCAGCGATGTTTAAATCACTTCAGTTCAAAAGATATTTTGGAAAGACATTCAATCGATTGCAGAAAATTAAATGAGACAAAAATTACTTTACCAAGTGAAAATAATAAATATTTGAAATTTAAAAATTTTAAAAACTACGAACAGGCACCGTTTGCAATTTATGCCGATTTAGAAAGTATACTATTTAAATGTAATGAAAATGTAACTGATAATACAAGCAAAACGCAAAAGGTTCACAAACATGAAGCGTTCAGTATTGCATATTATTTAAAGTGTTCTTACGACGATTCACTTTCCCGATTTAGATTGTATACCGGTGAAGACTGTATTAAATGGTTTATTAAGGAACTTGAGGAAATTGCTTTCGAATTGAAAGACATTTTCTCAAATATTGTTCCTCTGGTGAAACCCTTAACTCGTGAACAACAATATGAATTTATAACGACAACAAATTGTCATGTTTGTTCGAAAAAATTTAAAAATGGTGATTTAAAGATCAAAGATCATTCACACCTGGACGGCAGTTTCCGTGGTGCAGCGCACGTGGGATGTAATTTAAATTACAAAGACAGTCACGTAGTACCTGTAATTTTTCATAACTTGTCCGGCTACGATAGTCATTTTTTAATTAAAGCTCTAAGTGTAGAGTTCAAAGGTAACATTTCTCTATTACCTGTAAACAAGGAAAAATATATTTCTTTTACGAAATATGTACAAAATACCACGATTAACTTCAGATTTCTAGATTCTTTTCGTTTCATGGCTAGTAGTCTCGATAAATTATCATCATTCCTAGATAAAGAACAAAAACTAATAACACGGAAATATTTTCCAAATGACAACGAATTTGAATTGGTACAACGTAAAGGTATTTTTCCATATGAATACATGGACTGTTGGGAAAAATTACATGATACTAAATTACCCCCTAAAGAATGTTTTTTCAGCACGATTAACGACTGTCACGTTTCTCACGAAGACTACGAACATGCTTGCTTAATTTGGGATACATTCAAAATTAATACTTTACAACAATACGCAGAAATATATTTAAAAACAGATGTTTTGCTTCTTGCTGACATTTTTGAAAATTTTCGATTGACTTGTTGGAACACGTACAAACTGGATAGTTTACATTATTATACTGCGCCAGGGCTCGCTTTCGATAGTATGCTAAAACTTACGGGGGTTGAATTAGAACTACTAACTGATATTGATATGATAATGTTCCTAGAACGAGGGATACGTGGGGGTGTCTCGCAGGCGTGTAATAGATATGGAAAAGCAAATAATAAGTACATGGGAAGTAGTTTTAATGCAAATGAACCTATATCATATTTAATGTATTTCGACGTAAATAATCTCTACGGTTATGCGATGTCGTTTCCTTTACCAGAAGGGAAATTTGAATGGGTTGATGATGTCTACTCTATTGTAATTAATGACATTCCCGACGATGGTGAGTACGGTTACATATTTGAAATCGACCTAATTTATCCAGTAAAACTACATAAAAAACATCGTGATTTACCATTACTTCCGGAACATTTAATTCCACCAGCTTCCAATTCAAAAATGCATAAATTAATGACCACACTTTACGATAAGAAAAACTACATTATTCATTATAGGAATTTAAAACAGGCGTTAAATTTAGGTATTGAAATTGAAAAGGTTCATCGTGTATTAAAATTTAAACAATCACCTTGGTTAAAAAAATATGTCGATTTGAATACAAGTTTACGACAGGCGAGCAGAAACGATTTTGAAAAAAATTTCTACAAACTTATGAATAACGCTGTATTTGGTAAGACAATGGAAAACGTACGAAAATATAAGGATGTTAAATTGGTAACAAAATGGTCCGGAAGATATGGTGCAAATTATTATATTTCACAACCAAATTTCCATAGTTGTACGATATTTGATGAAAATATGGTACTTATTGAAATGAAAAGGCTAAATGTTACATTTAACAAGCCAATATACATAGGATTCTGCATACTTGACATTTCAAAAACTATACTATACGACTTTCATTATAATTACATTCAAAACAAATTCTGTGAGAGGGCCAAATTACTTTATACTGACACAGACTCGCTAATATACCAGTTCTTTGTTGACGATATTTATCAACATATAAAACATGATATACATAAATTTGATACATCGGACTATCCACCGAATAATATTTATAATATACCTTTAAAAAATAAAAAAGTCTTGTTAAAGATGAACCTTGTGGTAGGATATTTTCTGAATTCGCCGCTTTGCGATCGAAAATGTACGCCATAAAATTGCATGATGATAATGATAAGGAGGAAAATGATGTGGAAGTTAGGAAAAAGTTTAAAGGTGTTACAGAAGGCAGTATTTAGAAAAATTATATATATATGCATACATATTATGCACATCGGCCTGATCCATCGCGCCGCATGCATTATTGTAGGGATTATTTAACAATGTACATAAGAAATATAAAGTATGCTACTAAAATACGTTTAAAAATGATCGAATATGTTACTGTTTAGCATATAATAAAACTATAATACAGTTAGTGATTAATCACGATTACTTTAGTTTAGCAACTTGAACTTTGAAGAAACATTTAATACAAAAATAGTTTTTAGCGGGGCATACAGGACAACATTAGACAACTTCTTTACTTTTCTGTATAGCATATTTTCGACCCTGTTGTGATAATACTGTTGTATAACATTTCTTACACCTTTTTCTTCTATCTAGTAATTGCAATGTATGTTGAGTTGCATTATTTGCAGCATACGGAGCTTCATCGTTACTATTAGAAACATCTAATAGCTGAATGCAAAGATTTTCGTTGAATGTTGTAATGCTGACATGTTTATCATGGATTTTATTAAATAATAGCGAGGAATTTACAATAGTTGTTTCTATTAGAATTTCATACGCTATTTTATGAAAACATTTTGTTGTTCTGCGCAAAGACGAAGAATAGGCAGACATTTGATCGGAGACATCTGTAAATCATTTAGCAGCGTTGTAATCTACTATAGCTGCTGGTTTCATTCTAGTTCCTTCTCTACCTGGGATAGGAATTAGTTCGTCCCCGTGTTTGGTAGAAAGAAAAAGTATGTCACGTTTATCCTTCCACTTCATGAGTGTGATACCATCTCTCTGTTGCCCATAAATTTCTCCCTTTTTTAATTTTCGTCCTACAACCTCCTTTGGATTCTCTTTCCTATTACTACGTAGAGTTTCAACTAGATGTGTACCATTTTGTTGCAGTTCTTTAGCTAACCCAACACTCGTGTACCAGTTGTCAGTGAACACCACAGAATTTGCCACAGTGTTATAGTTTGACTATTCCTCTCTAAGCATCAGCAAATTTTTATTTTGTGGATGTAACCACCCTTTGTACATAATTTGAATGCCTTTATTCCAAATTTATGTTTTTAACCTTTTATAAATTGAAGAAATGATAGTCTGCCACGAAATAGAAACATACTTTCATGAATACATATGTCTTCACCTGGGATAAATGTGTCCTTGTATTTTTGATTTATTTGATCAACAAAAGGTTGAATTTTATACAGTCTATTTCCTGGTGGACAAATCTCATTGTTTGAGAAATACCACATTTGAAGAAGAATTTCAAACTTACAATTTATTTTGAAACTAAAGTTAATAATATACACGCATCTTACCTATTCCTCGGCAAAATTTTGGAAACGGAATTTTTATACAGAATAGGTCGGCTCCAATAGTCCTTGATAGCTGGTTTTCTATCCAACCCCATCCAAATTAGAATTCAAATAAACTTGTACTTTTCAACTTTATTAGTGGGTGTCCAGTCATTTAGTCTAGATTTTGGGCCTATAGATTCACATGTAATTTTCTGAACAACTTTTTGTTCTGCATAGACATAGTTTGCTCAACCATCGCATCGATAACTTCGTCAACCACAAATTTTTTGTAAAAGTCCACTTCACGTTTGTTACCAAGTTCATCAATAATATGTGAAGAAATTCCGTGCAAAATAGAGAAATTAAAATTTTTATTGTTTCTAACTATAGGCCCCCAACTTGAATTGGATCTGGATTGGCCTCATTGTCAGAGGAGGATATTGAAGGTAAATCAGTATCTTGGTTTCCTGAAGTACCCACTCGTTGTGTATTTCTAGGTTTTTTATTATTTATAAGACGAGGTTTTTTACTACATAGTTCTGAAGAATTGTCAGTGTCACTGGACTAATCTTCCAACTCGTATTCAGGATGATCATCTGAATTAAATAACGGTTCTTCTTCGCTCATATCCCATTTTTCCAATACTTCCTCCATCAATCCATCAAACTCTTGTTGCTCTTTTGACTCTCTTTTCCACATTTTTACTACGAAGCTAACAATAAACAAACTGTACGAAAAATTACCACTGCGAATTTCAAACTACTGGCCGTTACGGATTTGAATTCAAATGGGATTCACATGCATGTAACCGTCAATCACCGGTTATGCATTTGCGTATTTGCCGCCCCGTTCCCTCGCCGTTAACACCCTCGGGGACTATTCATCGCCGCCGCACCGAAAATTGACTGTACATACATAGTATTCACATGGCGTGGAACCTTTAAAGTTAACGTTTTATTTTTACATTCAAGTCAGTAGCATCTCTGTTCATTCTAGAGCTACGCGAATCTACGTGTTATCTCTAGTAAACGTTTAGTACAGGCTATTCATTTGGTCACTGTACTTTACCCCCCGACCACGTGTCAATCCACCCACACATTTCATTCCTCTCATTAGGACCTATTCGATAGCCATATCAGACCATCACCAGACCAAAATTTTGAAGAACGCCGAATAGTAAAATAACCTTGGTTGACAAATTCATTATAGGTTTTTACATCTAAAGTAGATCGCAATTTCATCATATCCTGCAGATAAATATGGGCCAATTTAGCATAATTCTATAATTCTAGTGACCACTTGCTTGAAAATAAGGTAGCATCTCATTTACATTCTTTAAATGTAAGTTGAAGTTAGCTGATCGTTCTGCATGATAAAAATTCAAATACTGAATCCATAGTTGAGCTGTGGGACCATTGTCTTTTAACAAGTTTAAACGAGTATTAAATTTATTAATTGTACTTCTCAAAATAAAATCGGCGGAAAGATCTGTTTCGTGTAAATCTATTCTTTTAAATATATTGTTTAAATGTTGTGTATAGCTGTCACTAAAAGAGCAATCGTCGATTAGTATACCACCAATTGCTACGAAATTTAATAGATGACCTCTGATGGCCCTTGAAAAGGCATGCCCTTGTAAAGCCTTAGTAGCAGAATTTTCAGCAAAAATTAAATTGAAAGCTTCTTCTAAGCCACTCACTTCCATGATATATCCAACTGCACCGAGAAAAGATATAAGGGTATGAAAACCACCTAATCTGACAATTACATTACCAATTTGAAGCATGTACGTCATTATTAGGATCAACTGAAGCAATTATTATACGGGCTTTCCAATATAAAGGTTGATCAAATGTAACAAATGCATGTTTTTGGCTGTTTTCTTCAGCTCTTTTGGCTGTTTCAGTTGACACCGTTAGTATCGTGTCATAATCGCTTGGAGGTGCATTTACAAATTGAAGAGGTGTAATTTTAGATACATCAAATTCCGTTACAAATGAATTTTTCTCTTTATAACCAAGCCATCCCTGCGTACTTTTTGGTGATGTTTTTTTTGCAGTAACCATAAGAAATCAAGCTTAGTTAAACTGAATTTATATTCTTCCATATTTTCGAGGGTAATCTTTTTAGCAGCAATTTTATAAAGGCCACTTAAATTAGTGTTAAAATTTTGAAGAGGTAAAAAGCCGAAGGAATCGCATATACTGTCTGTTTTAGGAATTTTGTTAAATCTTGGAATATTTGAATTTGCTACAACTGCTCTTCATGGAGTAACACTTGCAATACCTCCCATAGCATGAAACGTATTACGCCCATTTATAGTGCAAGTGTTGTGATCAGCATTGTCAAAAATGAATTGTACAAAACAATTTGGCAAAATTTTATAATTCTCAGGGTGTTTAACAATAGATGCTTCAAAAAGCTGAGTTTCATAATAAGTTGCGCAAAGCCCTAAATTAGAAAGACAGGTAATTAAGCTTTCGAAGCATGCTTTCTATGAATCATGGAGTAAATTCCTCATAAAATAGGAGACAAGAACGATCTAGGCCTAATAGAATACATTAAAAAATGAGCTATTGTTAATACCTTATTTTTCAATTTATTACTCTGTGGTACAATGTTTCAGCGAGGTAATTAATATTTCTAAAACTCTAAGTATAGTTGGAGGTATATCAGATTCAAGTTCTGTCATAAGTGTATTTGGTGATTTATAATAAGATAGATCATATTGGACTTTACGAGCATCCTGTAGCATAATGCTGCTGCCTCGTATACTCTCATTCGTTCTTCGTAAGTTTTATTTCTAGCATTATACCACTTTTTATCAATTGTATATCCATCACCTGCGTATGTTATTTGTAAATCCCCTCGAAAAAGTTACATATGACTTGATCGCCTAAATGAGAATTAAGATTAAGATCGTTTTATAAAACGAAACTCCAGACAAACTCCATCGTAATTTTTTAAAATTTCGGAGAGGAAAAATTGACATTCATCTTCGTTTAAAAGGATATGATTTATAACGAAATTAACAGCTTAGGAAGTATCATCTGATATCAGTCGACCAACAGGATATTTAAAATTACCGCGATATAAAGATAAATAACATTCTTTATGATAAAACGCTTTTACATCATTAAACTTTTCTTTTAATGCAGATAATCGTATTAAAATAATTTTTCGGTATTATTTAAAGCCCCACTTTCTAACTGTTTAATCATTTTATTAACAGTTTTAATATTTTCGATAAAGCTTCTTGTAGAGTTTCGCACTCTTGATTTTCGAAGTTAGAATTTTTTGATTAATTTTGCAATGTACGATTAATTAAACGATATGAATATTCCTCGGACGAACATAAGTAGTTCTACAACTATTATAGAACATAATTCCAAAATAGACGAAACAATTTTATATTTTCCATCTTTTCTTTGCTTACTAGCCTTAACAGATGTTTCAATCGCTTTCTGGCCAAGATTTGACGCATTTTCAGGTGTCATTTGTTGACCGCAAATCAAGCATTGTTCTATATATTTGAGAGATGGTAATAAATCTTCACCGCTGCACCCCGTACAGTTACCGTCTATAGTGGCCATTGGTTAGGTAAACAAACTGTAACATATTTTAAATAAAAACTCAGTTTATTACATCAATAATTTTTAAATAAAGACTACGAGTTGGTACTCGTTTGTTATTCCTACTTACTCCAGAGTAATCCTTTTTGTAAAATAAAATTAAATGAAATATAGATACCTTTACTTTTTGAAGATTTTATGGAGTGAGTAGGTACCTAATACATGTAAAAATCGTTTTATAATTAGACACTTACATTATATAACTTACGATGAAATGGTGAATGTATTAATATATTTCAATTTTCACAAAAACAAAAGTAACCAGGTAACTGTAACCCTTTATTCCCACCGCTATCTACGTTGCAATTAGAACAAAAGGTATTAATTAGGAATGAAAAACAATGACACTATTGTTCATATTTTTTTGTGTTATTCCAAATTAAAGAAAAAGGCTTAATCCCATGAATATTTTCTGAGCTATTTTCACCGCGATTTCCAACTACGTTGCGTCGTTCGGAATTACTAATCACTTTAGGTAGGTCTTTTAGCAATAACAAAAAATTACTACTTTTTTAAAAACAATAATACAAAATATAAATATTTGTCTATCGAATGACGCCAAATTCATTAAAAACAATTAATCTGTGATGTGTAAAAAAAAATATGTTAACTCGGTTCCTATTAGTCGTAGGAGATTCGTTTTGCTCTTTTAATGTTTGTTTTGAAGTTACTTTTTCATATTCCTTGGTTAAAAATTCGTACGCTACGTAGAAGTCACTCCAGCTCTCTCTGTTCATTCTATAGCTACGGGAATCTACATGTTCGGTATTTTCGTATGTGTAGTTGCAAAATTGTTCCATTTCATGTGAAATCTCTAATAAAAGTNGTAATAGTTATGTTAATCTAAGTTATTTTTTAAATTTTGTTTCGTACCTACACTTAACAGTTAATAAATTGATAATTCTTAGATTTCACATATTGTTAAAAAAGGTTTTTAATCTTCATTCAAACTGTTCATCTCCAACAATATATAAAAGAAATTACTACAAATAACGCTAAAAAATTGGTTTTCTTAAAATAAAGGAGAGAACATGTCCGTACTTAATATTAGTAAAAAAACCTTTCTGCAACTTTTGATTGAAGATTGTTGGAAAATCAGTACGTTTATAACCAGATGGTTGATTTCAAGAGATTAAAAATAGCATTTCTCAAATTATTCTGCAAATTGCTTTTGATACATTATCGATACTGATTCTAAACAAATTTTTTGTAATAGGTGTTATTTACAAATTTAACGCCTGTAGTCACCTACTAAGTTACCTTCTCGATTATAACAATAGTTATCATTTAAGATATTATAACATTTAAGTGTTTATAATTATCGATTATTTTGAAGAGAAGATGTCATGAAACTATAGTAAAGTAACAGGCCAAAATATGTAAGATAGCAAAAATTACAGAAATATATAGTAGAGCATAATACTACATATATTATAATATTCCAATTTCAACTTGTACTATATTTTCCATTTTCAAAAATACCCTTTTTGAAGAATGGGGAAATATTGATTAAAGCCTCCCTGGTAATTGGTTCTCCTAGGGATTGTATTAAAAGCCGTAAATAAGTTTCTAATTGTCGTTTTCTATTTTTTGCAACAGCTTCAGTATTCCTAAATAGTTGCCGAGGTGGAAAAGGAATATTTGACACCTAAATCAAAAGAAAATATAAAAATACAATTAATATGGGTAAATGAAAATTACCTTTTGTCCATATTTACTCTTCATAACGAGGTATAGTTCTCGAAATCTACTGTACCTTCGGTATACAGTCCATTTATCATCAGTTGTGTTTATTTTTACTTCATATTCATAATGAGTTTGATTTCCAGCTCCGCGTAAAATATAATTAGTAATACTGATAATGTTGTCACAGTTATTTTCTAAAACAATGAAAACGTTTTATAGATTAAAATTTCATAACACATACTGGTAGAAACCGACTGAGAAAGTATATTATAGTATTCATGAATAATTTGCAATAAGTCTGGCCTTTCGCGTCGATAATAAACTCCATATCCAGATACTACGGTTTTTATTTAAAGGCGCTATTTTTAGTTCTTCTTTCAGTAAATCACCTATACTACTATTTAGTCCATTCGAATTTAGTAAAATCCCCCTTTACTACTAAAACTCATCAATAAGCTTTATTTCAAGATGTTTTTGAAGAATTATTTTAAAAGTATACAAATCATTATGTGCTCTTTTTAATTTATAAATAAAAAAGCTGCAAACGATTTCTCAATAAATGTATATCCGACGTTACGTACAGCTGCGGTTCGACTGTGCAACATTATTTTTATACAATATACTGTCACCCTGACACGTTTGTAGGCAATCCAACATACATAGTGACAGAGAAGATCAGATTTTCTAGACGTCATATTCTGGATCATTCTATAAATAGTTGCCGAGAGTTAGTTAGCACGAGTTCGAGTTAGGTGGCGATATAAACCGAAGCGACAAAGTGTGCGAAATAGTGGTGAATTAAGAATAGTAGTGACATGAAAATAAAAGTAGTAATAGTGCGAAAAGGTATTTAATTACGTGACAATACATTTGCAACGTTTTTGCCTAGGGGGTTTCACAAAATTTCCCGCACACAACAAAGGCTATTTTTCGTATTGGGGCCGATAGCCAAAACATAAAGCACACTTTCACTCTTATCAGTTTTCACATTTCTTTCTCCCCTCCCCCGTTGACACTTGACGCCCTATTACACTTCTGGGTGTTTGTCTTCAACGGGATGTATGACGAGCTTCCTTAGAAATCAGCTCAAGCAAACCCTGAAATATTAGTTTCTCTATTCTACACCTGACTGGGTCTCACTTGCCGATCTGAAACTATTTAGGACGTGATTGCATTTAGATGGGGAATCTCCTGATATGATCTCTTTCAGAAGTATTATGGAGTGTTCATCGATTACCGAAAATAGTAATTGTTTGGAATGTTCTAACAGATTTGTTGTAAATATCTCTTTTCTAGAATGTTCAAAATATATCTGTTTTACCCAAACTTCTGTCCGCTCCAGAGTTAAAACGCCTCAGGTCATTTTGTATCACAACACTAGTGTTTACAGTAGTCTCCAAAGTGTTATTAATCAACATACCTTTTTGTGTATTTTGTTCAAAATCAACCTTTGCCTTTATTTAGTGAAACTACTTTGAACAAGAACAAAGGTGTATTGTTGATTCGACGAAAGAATAATTAGGCATTTAATCATGTGGTATTATCAGAAACAATCACAGATAATTATATGTTCCATCGAAGTTACTACCAGAAATTTTGTATCTTGTCACCAAAACACCGTCTGCAATGATACTTTGTAACCTCCACAGAAACTGGTGAATTGAACGTAGTATCAACATCGAGTAAACCAAGATATTCTTTCTTAATCACATAAATCATAATTATAAATCTTTTCTGAGATACTACTAATCCTTCATTCTAAATATTCAAATTCTCCATTATGTTTAGAAGTATACATGTATTTTATTTCATCGCCACGCTCGGCAAACGCCACACCGATTTGCAATACGATTCATTATTTAATTATTATTTTCCTGGTTTTCTCAGTTTTCACTGGTTAACATTGAGCAAGTGAAGACGGGCTAATGCCAAAGAACCTCACTCACATCTTTTGGGATATGATATAGAAACCAATTTTCTGTTCTTAAATTTTAAGAGCTAACTTCTTTCCCTGAAATATGATTGGTGATTATTAAAAACTTTGCTTGTAATTTAACCTGTTGTTTCTTGAAAAAGGGGATATGTCAGTACTGTTAAGAAATCAGCGTACTATTCCGCATGTATCAAGGATTACTGATTTCTGCAGACTTATGTACAGATGCTTATGCAGTTTCAACCCTGCTAGGCTAGCGTGTAATGTTTTGGGTATAACGCCTATTGATGGTATTATTTTTCTGTTTTTTTTTATTGTTCTGATTCCACATTTCTTTTATTTCATCAGCCAAAGGAATATATTTTTGAATTTTCTCAATTTTATGTTTAAGATTTTCAATGTTTGGTACAGCAACATCGATTAGGTAGGTTGTTTTAGTTTCTTTGATGGTCAGTGTGATATCAGGTCTGTTATGATTAATTGTTTTGTCTGTAATTATGTTTCAATCCCAATAAAGCTTGGCTAAGTGGTTTTCTAATAGTCCAGTCGGTAGACAATTTTCCCGACATAAATTTGTTACCAGACGGGGAAAAGTTAAGCATCACTGTATATTTTTAAACATCGAAAAAGTGTGCGTTAACAAATGGAGGAGATCGAAAGTTGGTAAAAACCAGGTTTTTAGATCTAGGAGGCGAGTTATGCCTTATAGGAAGAAAAGTTTCAAATAACAATTGTGGATAAATTAAAAACCTTCAATTTGAACTGCGGTATGATCAATTTTGTCGATTGGTTATTGCACAAATCCCAAATCGTCAAAAATTGTCATTTCTTATATATTGATTGTTTATTGCAAAAATGACTTTTTTAGTGATTTGTTAATTGTTTATCCCAACAGACATGGATAGTTATTGACGTAACTTTTTTTTTAGTAAACATTTTTAGGTACACATAGGTTCAATCTCTTCGTAAAGGTGGAGTTCTTCATATCCCGTTAGGGGCAAATCGAAAAATTATTTTTATCCCCTTATTTGTTGCTGTAAACAAGGGGATCATTTTTATTTATAAACAATTAGAGCTGGAGCGACTCCTACGTAACGTACGAATTTTTAACCAAAGAATATGAAAGAGTAAACTCGAAACAAACATTAAAAGAGCAAACGAATAGGAATAGGAACTGAGTTAACATCTTTCTTTTTTAAACATCACAAAATAATTGTTTTTAATTATTAAGAAATGAATTTGGCGTCATTCGATAGACAAATACTTATATTTTGTATTATTGTTTTTAAAAAAGAAGTAATTTTTTTGTTATTGCTTAAAGACCTATCTAATGTGATCAGTAATTCCGGACGACGCAACGTAGTTAGCGGTGTAAATAAAACATTCGAGGCTGACGCTGACGTCAATCGGAGAAAATTGTCGTTTCTTTGAAAATTTTCATCGGATTGAGCTGTTTTTCTTTTTAATCTGGGATAACACAAAAAATTAGTAAACAGTGGTATAATTGGTTTTCAATTTATAATAAAGATGAATAATTTATTATTTATATTGTTTACTTATTTTATTTTCCGAACAAATATCATTTTTATAAAACGATGAATACGATAAAAATAAAGATACTAAGAAAGTTCAAAAATGAATAATGTAATACAATTTAGTTTATATGTAACTAGTTATATGATCAAAAATAATATAATTTAAGAAAGTATAAAACTACAACCACAGCACCTGCCTTTTTATTATACGTAGCCTAACATAACTCAACCTAACCTAGCCTAATCTTACATTTATATTATAAGTAATTTAATTTAAGAAAGCCTCATCTTTTTATTTGTATGTGACACAACTGCTTCATGTTCCGGTCTATTATTTACTAATGTTTCGTTAA